GATCCGGTCGCCTTGCTGTTTTGCCTAAGACATTGAACTGGGGCTGGAAACGAGGTCCTCCAGACTGATCCGGTCGCCTTGCTGTTTTGCTTAAGACATTGAATTGGGGATGGAAATGACGTCCTCCAGGCTGATCCGGTCGCCTTGCTGTTTTGCTTAAGACATTGAACTGGGGCTGGAAATGACGTCCTCCTTGTTGAGTCAGTCAGTTTTGCTTGTTGACAAAGGTCTGAGTATTCTCTGTGAGGATAGTCGAGGCTAGTGTGTTAGGGATTGCATGGGGTTGACTGAGAACAATTTGGAAAGTTAATCAACTAAGTAAGATACGGGACTAATGTTTTTGTGATCAAAACAAGGGAAAGATGAAAAGTTTGGATGAACGAACCCTTGTTTGGTTGAATGCGTTATAAACATGACATGCTGGTTGGCAATGACTTGTCGTTTGTTCCGGCTTTGTCTGTTTTTCTGCATAGTAGGGTAATCTGTTAGTGCTGGTCTTATGCTTGAGCGATAGGTAGGTAGATGTTCACTCTTGTTTTCGCATTTGTCTTTTCATGCATGATTGTTTTGGTAAGGCATTGGCTAGCCTCTGAGTTAGTAGAAGTTCTGGGAGCCTCTTTTCCTTAGGGGAGGTGCTGCCAAAATTTCTGCTAAATACTCAAAGTTAGTCAAACTTCAGAGATGTCAACTAGAATAGGACGTAGTTTAGTCATTGGAGTTGGTAGGAATTCTGGAAGCCTTCCTTTCTAAAGTAAGTGTTGCCGAAATTTCTACTGAAACCGAAAAGTTAGTTTATTTTTCAGATATTTTCTGAGTCTCGAGTTTTCTTTTTAGATTTGGTATAGTAAATATTATGTGAGCACATTTCCCTAAAGAAAGTGTTGCCGAAATTTTTGGGATTTTCACATCGTTACCGGACACTGCTGCTAAGTGGCCTACAGTGCGATACGGGGTTGAACTCCGTTAACCCGATACGCGATGCCCGTCTTGATCTTTGTGACGCAGGTCATTGCTACCTGCGAGCGTTCTTCGAAGTCTTGAGCTTCATCAACTTCTACTATCAAATTGATAGCAGATCGGTTTGCGACTCAAGTCCTACCCACTATGATACCCACGCTCAGATGTCTGTCACCCCGTAGGCGAAGGGCATTTCCATGTGAATAAAGTTCCTATTCTCTGAACCTCTCTTGAATAGCCATGCGAAAGCTGTGTGAATCGGGATGGGCAGATATACCTCTGTTGAATAGGGTCGGAAAGAGGCGTGTGGGACATGAATCTGGGAGAAAAGAGGTCGACCACGTTTTGTGGCATCTGCGTGTGGATTTTCATTGGACTTCATGTGTGTGCAGATATGTATGGGAGCAAGGGCTCGCTCCTGAACTAAGGGTGATATGGGTAAATGAATGAAGGGTGTGAGTGACAAGGTTCAACTATGGCTGTGAGAATGGCTCTCCCTGATTTCCCCCGAGACTCGCCCTTTTCTTTCTCTTATTTTACTCCTGCCGTATGCATCTAGCAAACAGGCAGGAGTAGCCGAGCGCAAGGTTTAGCGCTCGACCTTAGATCGGACTGAGACTTAGCTTGGGTACGGCGAATCACTCGCCAACCCGTGAGTACTCGTATTTTCCTTCCGCAAGGGAAGGACGAGCGTACCCCGTCTCAAAAGGGGTCTTGCTTTTTAGATTATTAGTCGGACGTTGGTCCTGAGCCTGGAATTTGAGGTCCTTGTCCAGGACATCCCAGACTCCGGTCCAGCACGAAAAGGTTTCCCCCTTGAGTCGGATCTGCGCCCCTTGTTTATCGTCACCACTGCCTAAAAAAAAGACAGGGGTGCTGCAAGGGCCGAAGGACTTATCCTTCAGTCGTGCAATATCGTGAAGGAGAAACCCTTCACGATATTTCGCTCTCGATACTACAGTGTCGTACGCAACCCCGAAACCCATGAGAGGTTGCGCGGATGTGGGTAACGAATGAAGTGTCGCCATGATAGCAGGTCAAGTGAGCACACATGACTAAGTCGTATGGTTCCCTTGGCGGTTGCATTCTTTTTATGCAACTCTGTGCGGGACTCGCTCAGACGCATTGGCAGTTCTGAGTTATGGGTCAGAACGTAGGCATTTTGTTTGTCTGAATTATTTTGTTTTGTCATGTATCGCGTGGTTGAGCTAGGATGTCCTAGTCGACCGACGCTGAATCGCACGTGGGAGATCAGCGCCCCAGCGTGACGGTTCGCATACGGGTCCGAGCTAGGCGTGGACCGCGCGTACGCCCTATGCTACAACACACGAGAAACACCCTCGGTTGGGCCACCTCCGCGATTGCAAGTAAAAGCTTTCGCGTGTGGTTCAGTAGCTCGGCGGGGATACGCCTACCCAAGGGATGGTGAGAGCTCCCGCGGGTGGAGGTAAGTTGTACCTCACGAGGCCCTGTCCTGTCGTAGGGACTCGATGGAGGTCTAGTTGGCGCACTCCGCTGGAGCGGCTTCGCCGCTTCCTTTTTGTGAAGCGACTTGCGAATCTGCCAATCCTGCGTGACGTGGCCGGGAAGGTCCCCCACCAGCAGGGGACCGTGCGCACGACAACGCTTAGCCCGAACTATTCTCACAAGGAGAAGAGTCAGACTCTTTGTCAACAAGCAAAACCGACCAACTCAGCAAAGCGACCAGATCGGTCAGGAGGACCTCATCTCCAGCCCCATTTCAATGTCTTAGGCAAGCAGCAAAGCGACCGGATCGTTCAGGAGGACCTCATCTCT